AAAGTGATTTGTATTTTTGTTTTGCCTTAGCGGGGTGAAAGATTGGTAATCTTTTGCCTTTTAAGGAATCGATTTACCATTTGGTAACCATGGTTTTCTCGCCACCAATGGCTTAGTTATGTGAAGGATTTTTTACATTTTGTGTAGTTGCTTCTTCTACGATTTCATTTTTGTCATCTGAATATGCTCAATAGACTACAATATTATTGATTGTAGTAGGTTTCTAAATGCTGCTTGTTTCTAATTCCAAGTTTCCAGTTTCTGTTCTTTTCTTCAGGAAAGTCATGCGCAATTCAATAAAAGATTCTTAATGAGCGTTATTATGCAAGCTTTCCTTGTTTTTTTTCTTCGCACAGAATTTCCTAGTCATTTCAATTTTTTGAGAAGATCCATTTCGGCAAAAACTTTCTTTTCCTTTATCTATATAACTTTTGCTTTTCTAACCAATCTTTCTCCCATAGACTGTAGTTATTAGGTGACTCATATGTGTTACATTCGCTTCGCATATGTAACGTTTTTTCGAAGTGCCACGTGGCCAGACATCAATCTTTACGAGTTTCAGATTTGTAACTTACTGAGATTGATTTAACCTCTTCTCTTTATACTCCTATTTATACACCAAAGAGTGGGTGAACAATGGCTCTGCTTCCTATTCGTTTTCATGAGCATCTTCAGGTAAAACATCCGGGATTTTGAAGTTATTTTTTTCTTCATCTCTACTTTTCTGTGATCATCTTTCTGATTTTAGCTTACTAATGTGGGTATTCGCCCACAAAACATTTGCTTTGCAAATGTCACCATGGAATCGGACAAGTTCATCGTTGTTCGTGAAATGGTAAATTTTCTAGGTTATTCAATTGTTGCCAGTCATTTTATGGTCATTATTGTCCCTTTTTTCTCAGATCGGAGATTCTCAGCAAGTGGTAATTATCGATCTCGCAGATCCGGCCAATCCACAGAGGCGACCCATCTCGGCCGATTCAGTCATAATGCATCCCACCGCGAAGATAATCGCACTCAAATGTGATTAAGTACCTTAATTTTTATTGATTTTGGGGGAATTTTATGAGAAAAGAGGTGCAGCTGAAGAGAGATAGGAGAGAATAAGAATAATGGTAAAGGCGCTATTGTAACATAGGCCCTCGGAGGCGGCCATCCAGTCAAAGTTTTTCTAGAACCATATAAAGTGGTAACCTTGTCA